AAACTCATACCCCTCCTCATGACGAAGTCACTTACTAGTACATACCTGTGGCTCATACCGCCGTTAATAAGCGATATGTGCCCCCTGTATATGCCACTTCTGAACATACCTTTACAGCTCCTATCACGGTCAGGGTGCCTTATGAGATTGACCAATAAATCGAGATGGTGAATGAAGCCAGGCGTAAGGAAGAAGAGTTAGTATTTGAGAAGCTACAAATCTTGAGAAAACAAATGGAAAACCTCCAAGTTTTCATAGGAAGTGAAATTTTAGACTACGAGGATCTATGTATCCATCCGGATATGGATATGCCAGCAGGGTATAAGCCTCCAAAGTTTTATATCTTTGATGGGATGGGTGATCCCCATGTGCATTTGAGGGTATATTGAGACAAGTAAGTCAGAGTGGGGAGGAATGAGAAGCTAAGAATGAAGTTATTTAAAAGGAGTCTAACGGGGGAAGCGCTCACCTGATATACTCGATAGGATCCACGAAATTGGAGAACTTGGCAAGATATGGCAGAAGATTTCATGAATCGCTTTTGATTCAACACAGAGACCACTACCGATAGGTTCGCACTGGTGAACCTGCAGAAAACACCATCTGAGTCATTCTAAGAATATACACGTCGGTGGAGTTCAGAGGCTGCCAGGGCGCAACCTTCACTGGAAGACAGTGAATTAACCAAGTATTTCATCAGATCTTGGGAAGGGATATACTTTGAAAAGATTATGGGAATGATGAAACAGAAATTCCCCAAGCTGGTCAAGATGGGAGCACTGCAAAAGGCCCGCAAGGCCATCCAAACATGGTTAATTGGCAAGGAAAAGAAGAAGAATGAGGAGGTCTCAGCATTCGTCCCTTACTATCAACCCAACCCACATTATGGAAACATTTCCTATTCACAAAAATATCATTCACCACCACCCATTTATGCTCCATTCTATAACACCCAGCCATATAATCATCCCCAACCACAATACAACCCTCCTCGAGCCAAAAACAACCTGAACCCACAACGACCATATGCTCATGTCCAAACCAATACACACAATTATACCCTAATTGCTGAGCCTCTGGCCCAATTGTTTGAGAGATTCAGTAGAGAAGGATTGATACATCTAATTGAAGGATGGATTACTAAAAGGTGCATGTACCATTTCAATGTACCTGGGCATGATACTGAAGATTGTTTTAAACTGAAAAAAGGAGATTGAAACATTGATCAAGAATGGTGCCATTCAGTGCACTCAAGCGCCACCCAATGTGAATCGCAATACGCTGCTAAATCACTGAAATTAGGAGGTCAACATGATCACATTGGACGAAGAATATGACCTAAAGGGAACTATTGTCACTATAGGAAATGCAGAAGCTGCCAGGATCCCTCCTCAAAGGGCTTTAATGATTACAGTACAAGTGAGACCTACAGTGACAGTTCAGACTTATCAGGGACAACCTGTCATGGCTATAGGGGACGAAGAGAGTTAGGAATACAAAATCATCCTATGGACGTACCAGTAGAAGGGGAAGGCCAAAATGATAGACTCTTCCGCAGCCCATGGTATGACTATGTCTGGGAGATGCTACCCTCTTTAAGATGCTAATCGAGGGAACTTGGAAAGAGACAAAATTTAAAGAAGGAACACAATAAGCCCATAATGCCAAGTTCTGGAAGAGAATGTTGACCAAAGAGTATCCCATGGAGGAGCAGCTGAAGAAAACTCTAGCATAGATATCAGTCATAGATTTATTAATGAGCTTTGACAGTCAAAATGATGCCCTATTAAAAGTACTAAGTGGTGTAAGTGTAATAAGCAACACCACCAGTGAGGCGCTGGTCGCGACAATTGGGAAAATGGTTGGAGAAAATATGATCACTTTCAAAAAGATGATCTTCTTGTTGAAGGCACAAGTCATAACAAAGCTCTTCATATCACTGTCAAATGTGGGGTCAAAATGGTATCCCGAGTGCTGGTCGATGGAGTGTCAGGAGTCAACATTTATCCTCTCTCTACCCTACAGGAGTTAAGGATTCATTTGAGGGAAGTTAAGGAAAGCCACGTGAGGGTGAGGGCCTTTGATGGTTCGCAGAAAGATGTTATTGGAGTAATTTATTTGGCCTTGCAGATCGGGCTGGTAGAATTTCCCATATTATTTCAAGTAAGGGATATCCCTTATTCCTACAACTTGCTACTGGAAAGGCCCTGGATACACATGGCATGGGCCGTCCCATCCACTTTACACCAATGCATGAAATTTGAGTGGGGATGTCAGGATATCGTGGTCCACGGTTAGTGGGATCACTCCGCTTATTTGGAGCATGTTGTTCCATTCATTGAAGGGCTAGACGAAGTTGCTTTCCATGTAGTGGAAATCAAGTAGACTACCAAAATGGATGAAACTAAACAAAACTTGGGAGTACATATGTCGTATAGATCTAAGATGGCTATAAGGGAGATGATGATATATGTATACATGCCAGGAACAGGGCTGGGATCCAGGTCGGACGGGATCACAGAGCTAATTGTACCTAATGGGAATAAAGGAAGGGCCGACACTAGATATCAGCCTCCGGTAGGGGATCTCATACCAGTTGCTCGGGGAAAAAGGTTTTTGTGTCAAAGCATGTTTCATGTCCGAGTAAGAGTTCAGTACCAGAATATGATCTCAGCGACTAGATGGGAAAGCTGTCTGTGAGTATGATCAAAGAATGTTATGAAGGGACTAGCATCAAGACACTGACTATCAAGGATGCCGAACCAGGGGAAGAGCTGCGGAATTGGACCACCGGTCCATCTTTTGTTCGTTGCGAGTCTTGGTAGTATGGAACTGTAAAAGTTTTCTTTTGAAAAGTGCACGGTCAATTGAGGTATGCACCATGTCTGTACCTTTTTGTCATTTGCCTCTTTTGAACGCTTAAGACGTTCTTTTTTTGATGAAATAAAAATAATCATTTTCTCAAAATATTGCAATTTTATTTACCGCTTCATTTATACTTAGCTTTTCTTTTCAGTAATCAAAATGCTAAAAACTCGCGTTCTGCGATTGTGACATGTAATGAAACCGCTGAGCACAATGAGCCAGTTTATGAGGACTATGACGAGTGTTTGATGCTAGAAAATCTCCTGCAAGATATCGAATAACTGGAGAGTTAGAAAAATCCAAACCTCGAAGAAAGGAAGTGGTCAACCTTGGAAGTGAAGAGGACGTGAAAGAAACCAAAATCAGCATTCATGTAGAAGCCGAGCTGAAGGAAAATTTGTTGAGCTCCTCTGACTATACATTTATGTGTTCGCATGGTCGTATGATGACATGTCAGGATTAACCACCGACATTTTCTCGCATCGACTGCCCACCGATCCTACCAGACCGCCGGTCAAACAGAAACCTAGAAAGTTCAAACTTGATTTATGTCTGAGGATAAAGGAAGAAGTGAACAAGCACATATAGGTGAATGTGATAAAGGTAACCAATTATCCCAGCTGGTTGGAAAATATCATCCCAATACCCAACAAAGACAGAAAGAACAGAATATGCGTAGATTATCGAGATCTCAATAAAGCTAGTCCAAAGTACGATTTCTCTCTGCCAAATATCCATATCCTTATCAGCAATTGCGCGAAGTATGAACTGCAATCGTTTATGGCTTGTTTCGCTGAGTACCACCAAATTTTGATGCATGAGGAAGATACAGAGAAGACAGCCTTTACCTTATATTGGGGAGTTTACTGCTATAGAGTCATGTCATTCGATCTCAAGAACTCTGGTGCCACCTACATGAGGGCCATGACGACCATTTTTCACGAATGATTCATAAGGATATTGAAGTTTATGTGGATTAAGTCATCATAAAGTCTCGAAAGAGTTCAGAGCACTTGGATGATTCGAGAAACATTTTCGAACGCGTGCGAAGGTACAATTTGAAATTGAACCTGGCGAGGTGCACGTTCGGAGTCCCCGATGGAAAAATGTTGGTCTTCATTGTAAGTAGGAAGGGGATAGAACTGGACCCATCAAAAATCAAGGCCATTTAGGAATCGCCACCACCGAAGAGTAAGAAAGATGTAATGATTTTCCAAGGTAGACTAAATTACATCAGTCGCTTCATATCCCAGTCCACGGTAATCAGTGAACCCATTTTCAAGTTGTTGAAAAAGGATGCTACCACAAAATGGACAGAAGAGTGCCAGAAAGCCTTTAATAGAATCAAAGAATATCTGCCAAATCCACCAGTATTGGTTCCCCCGAACCCAGGAAGCCAAAGTTACTATGTTTGTTACTCTCGGATAATGCCTTCGGTTGCATGTTGGGACAGCATGATGAAACTGGGAGAAAGGAGTAGGCCATCTACTACTTAAGTAAGAAGTTCACATCATGCGAAGCCAAATATACTCTGATAGAATGCACTTGTTGCACTCTGAGTTGCACTACAAAAAACACCGGAATTAGCTACGAACATCGTCGCTAATCTGTCGCTAAAACACTCCTAGCTAGCAGAATCTCTTGATAATTCATAGCTATTCCGTCGCTAAAAAGGATTAATGACAGATTTTACTATTTAGCTCCAGAATTTGTCCGTTGCTAAAACCTGATATTTTAGTAGTGTTGGATTTCCTAGAAACTAAGGCATTATATGTCAGCATAAACTACCCATATGATATCTCAGTTCGACCCGCTCAAGTACATCTTCTAGAAGCCGATGCCTACTGAAAAGCTAGCTAAATGGCAAATTCTCCTCAGGACATCGTGTACATAACTCAGAAGGATATCAAAGGGCAAGCTTTAGCTTACCATCTCGCATAAATTCCGGTGGATGGGGATTACGAGCCACTTACTTTGTATTTTCCTGATGAAGAAGTATTCTTTAGTGGAGAATATTACAAAATCGTACCCCGGATGGAGAATGTTTTTCGGTGGAGCCGCAAACCTAAAAGGAGTCAGAATCTGGACAGTATTATCCAACATCGGCAAAGATAAGATTCCCATGTACCAATAATATGGCTGAATACAAAGCGTGCATCCTTGGGATCAAAATTGCAGTCGACATGAACGTCAACGAACTCTTGGTCATAGGGGATTCTGATTTATTGATACAACAAGTCCAAGGGAAATGGTCCACCAAGAATGTCAATATACTTCTATACTTGCACTGCGTGAAGGAGTTATGCAAGGAGTTCGCAATGATTGAGTTCAAGAACGTCCCCAAGATTCAAAACAATTTCGTTGATGCCCTTGCAACTCTACCATCTATGATTCAGCATCCAGGCAAGAACTACATCGACCCTATCAAGGTAGAGATCATGGATCAACATGCCTATTGCTTCCATGTAGATGAAGAACCAGATGGTAAACCATGGTATCATGACATCAGGAATTTCCTCGCAACCAGAGAATACCCGGAGAATGCTACTAATGGTCAAAAGCTAGCCCTTAGGAGGTTGGCAAACCATTTTTTCCTCAACGGGGAAGTCCTGTACAGGAGGACCCCAGAATTAGGTTTTTTAAGAAATGTAGACATTGCCGAGGCAACTAGGTTATTGGAGGAAATACATGCAGGAACGTGCAGGCCCCACATGAATGGGTTCACATTAGCCAAGAAGATCTTGAGAGCTGGATACTTTTGGATGAATATTGAAAGTGATATTCAATATTCAATATTCTTAGAAGATCCGAGTTCCGCCGAATAATTTGAACGTAATGGGTTTGCTCACCTCTTGGGGTATGGACGTGATTAAATCTATAGAGCGTTCCGCATTAAAGGGGCATCGATTTTTCTTGGTAGATATCGATTATTTCACTAAATAGTTCGAAACATCTACTTACAAGGCCATCACAAAGAAGGTAGTGGAATATTTTGTCCGGAACAACATCGTCTGCATATTTGGAATACCGGAGTGTATCATCAATGGCAATGTCGCTAACCTCAACAGCGACCCCATGAGAGAAATCTGTGAGAAGTTCAGAATCGTCCACCGCAATTCCACAGCTTACAGACCATAAATGAATGGGGCAGTCGAGGCAGCTAACAAGAATATCAAGCGGATTCTACGAAAGATAGTGGACAATCATAGGCAATGTAATGAGAAACTATCTTTCGCCTTACTGGGTTATCGAACCACCATGCGAACATCCACTAGGGCAACACCGTATATGTTGGTATATGGCATTGAAGTTGTGATACCCGCAAAGGTTGAAATACCATATTTAAGAGTCATTCAAGAGGCAAACTTGGACGACGCAGAGTGGATATGGGTAAGACAGGAGCAACTCATGCTCATCAATGAGAAGAGAATGGATGCAGTATGTCATGTGCATCTATATCAGAACAGGATGGCCAGTGCATTTCATAAGAGAGTGAAGCCTCGCCAGTTCGCACCGAGGCAGTTGGTTTTGAAGAAAATCTTTCCCCACCAAGAGGAAGCCAAAGGAATGTTTGCACCAAACTGGCAAGGTCCTTACGTGGTTCACCAAGTTCTATTGGGTGGAGCGCTAATCTTGGTAGAAATGGATGGAAGAATCAACACGAACCTCATCAACTCAGACGCAATCAAAATATACTTTGGTTGAAGATAAATATAGTTTAGTTTTTGACCTGACTTCCCATGGAGGGATACGTAAGCAACCCACGTAGGGTTCGGTTTATCCCCCCCCCCCCCCCTTTTTT